GATTTATTAATAATTAAAAATGCCTAAACGAGATCATTATTTTTTTTTTCGATAACATGTAAGTATATTAGAAATCGAAAAAATAGCATTTTACAATGCATCAAATCCAAGTCAAAATGACTATCTAAGCTAGAATAAACTAACCTAGATATAATGCATCAAAGTAATGGGACAGACCCCACCTCACAAATTAATGTTACAAATAGTCTTCAAGATTTGGACCAATTAAAATCAAAGAAGTTCCTAATCTAAACATCCAAAGAAAGCCCGGAAAGGAGTAATGAATTTAGCATCAAAACAAAACTCCCCTTTCTTCTTTGTAACTCCCGGTAATCCCTCTAGACATCTTGCGGTGAAAGTTAAGCCCTTTCTACCCAAATCGTGCGTGAGTCGAAGTGAAGTATCCACTCGAATCACACCAGCCCGCACAAATCTAAACGGTTTGACAACCAACTTGAGTGTCTTACCGTTAACCATCTCACATTTGATGACGACATCATGTTGGTGCAAATCATTCTCATCCGTAACTACCCTCTCAATATCTTCCAAAGCCGCCACAGATTGCTCATTAGAGCTTTTCACAACTTCTGGAGACCTTTGGGCAACCTGGGAATCAGACTGCCGTTTAAACCCGGTCGGGTTTGTGGCTGGCCCGGTCGGGTTAAACCCCTGGACAGTCATATCAGTCGGGTTAGGGCCTGGCCCGGTCGGGTGAATCTCCTGGGCAGATTCTGCCAGACTGGGTTGGGCAGCGGGTTCAACAATTTCCACAATTTCCGTAGGTATGTTTTCCTTTCCCCCAATTTTTATTTGTTCATCTTCACCTTTCTCACTTGATTTCACCGTATCATCGTCCTTTTTTGCTAGCTTATTGCAAATAAACGGGTGGTGCCCATATATCTTACAATGGAAGCAAAAATTTGGGATGTTTCGTACACCACAAATTGTTTAACTACCTTTCGGGATGGTAGCCGAATAGGAAATGAAAGTGGCGGTGGCTTCGAGATATCAACTTCAATAAGCACTCTAGCAAAGTGGTGATTAGACCTATCATGTGTGACTTTGTCCGTAGCCAATGGGACACCAACCATGGATGCAATCTCACTCAAAGCATCCTCATTCCAAAGTTTCAAGTGTAAGTTAGGGAATTTAACCCAAATAGGTACTTTGAGAAACTCCTCATCATCAAAGGAAAAATCATCCGATAGTGCTTTTAACATAAGTAGTTTCCCAAAAATGGTGTAAGGTCCATCTTTCAACACTTTTGTCCTATCATCCTCACTTTGAAATTTAAATATAACCCAACCCTTATCATGAGGCTTAATAATGCACTTAACACCCCATGTGTTCTTCAAATCATAAATCGCTTTTAGACCGGGAAACTTTCCGGTGAAACAACCGACTAGACAAGAACCCCACATTTCAACCATACTAGGCATAATTCTATCAGAAAAGTCAATGGTTGTGCCACTAGGCGGGATGTACCTCAATTTAAAGCCATTCGAGGGTGCCCGATTGTCCTTAAAAAGGGAGGACCAAGGAGTAGCAATCCCTGAGCTAGCCAACTCCCCTGGTGCAGTAGCAAGTCCAGGCTGTTTGGAAGCAGAACCGGCCTTCCCAGTTTCAGCAGCACTTCCAGGTTCATTGGAAGCAGAAACGGGCTTCCCAGGAGTAGCCGCAGCTCCCGCATTTGTGACAGTCTTCCCGTCCCCTGCCTTCACAGCAGTTCCAGTCAGAGCTGGGAACTCATTGTCCAATTCCTCCAACACAGAGAAGGTGGAACTAGTAATCCTTGCTGTGGACGCCTCACCAGTTCCTTGTATCTTCTTTCTCGCCATGGAATAGGTATAAGCAACTCTCGGCGTTAACAATAGCACCTCAAAATTACGCAGATGGCTTTTCAGCCGTCATCTATCTCTCAACGTTCCAAGCCCAAATCGAAGGACAGATTTGAGTTCAAACAGAGTTAACGCTCTGCGAACCCAGTACTATGAAATCTTTGCGTCGAAATCGGCTGTAATAGGTCTGCCACGTTCAAGTCCAAGCACGGAATCAGAACTTGCGTAGACTATGAACAGTAATTGCGAATCTTTGCGTCGAAATCGGCTGTAATAGGTCTTCCACGTTCAGGTCCAAGCACGAATCAGAACCTGACGATTAAGATGAACCGAAATAAACCAGATATCTATCCAAATCCATCTAAAAATCCAAAGGAATCGAGTATATTGTATAAGCGTAGAAGAGCCTCACGAAGAGGGAGAGAATCAGCTCTCAGCTCTCAAAGGAAACGAGATCATTATTGTTTATAAGCAAAAATGCATAATATACAAATTTATGAATAAATTGTGTATGATTATGTGTTATGAATACAATGGCATAATAGTTGTATAAACTACAAATTAAATGGTGATAAATATACTTTTACCTCATGTAAGGAAGTCATGGGAGGATAAAAATGATATTTTGATAATAGAGCCAAATTATACTTGAATGTGGAATTAAATTGAAATATTCAAATTATTATGAATTTGCATTGGTTATTAAGATTAAATGACTAGTATAGGAATACTAGTCGGGAATGTTAGTTCAATAGTTTTTGGGAGCTAATCCCAAGATTTTGGAGTTAAGTAACCTTAAAGGATATGTTTAAGGTGGACTTTATGAACTCAAGTTACTTTTGGAGTAGGCCTTAAGGGTTACTCGAAATGGATGGAACCTAGACTAAGAAGTGGTTTAGGGATTAGTGACGTGACTATGAGCCGAGCTCTAGCACGTGGTAGTATGACTATGAGCCGAGCTCTAGCAAACGTAGGGTGACTATGAGCCGAGCTCTAGCACAAATTAGTATGACTATGAGCCGAGCTCTAGCAAACGTAGGGTGACTATGAGCCGAGCTCTAGCACAAATTAGTATGACTATGAGCCGAGCTCTAGCAAACGTAGGGTGACTATGAACCGAGCTCTAGCACAAATTGATATGACTATGAGCCGAGCTCTAGCATGGAGAACATGAGTTAATTACAAATGAATAACATCTTAGATTGAGGGTCTTGGAAATTGAAACTTTGATTATACTTGGTATAGTTGTCATTGTACTTGTCAAATGCTTCCAAGTACTGACCTCCCCTTCACGGGGGAGGCCACCTCACAGTTTCAGGTAGAACTTGAAGGTTGCTACCACCGCCCGTTGTTTCGGAAAGATCAAAGGAGGGAGACGTGGTTCGTGCTTCTTCCGTTCCTGTTTTGAAAACATTTTAAAATAATGCTCATGGATATTATTTTTAAATACTTATTTAGGGCTTGTATGCCCATGTTTGCCAAAGTGTGGCATGCACACTTGTATTGAATGCTTCCGTTGTTTTAAGTGAATATTTTACATTATGTTGTTTATGGATGTACTATGTGTGAATGATATTCCAGACGCCTTGTATAATATGGATGTGTGGGACTGCGGTTGACCATTCGTACTGTACGGCGGATTGTTGACGTGTCCGGATAGGTCCGGGGCGTGACAAACCTTGTATATTCTGACTACTTATATCAATAAAACATTTCCTTTCTAAAAAAAAAAGAAAAAAAAAAGGTTAATAAATTCCTAAGGGGAAATTCATAGAATGTGACTGGAACATAATGAGTTTCCCTAGATATGACTACATTTGCTTTTAGTCATTCGTGTGACTGAAAAGCAGAAAAAACTCATGTCACATAAAAGAGGACTGAATGACAAAAATAGCCTTATAAAATAAATGTGCATTTTCACTATTTCTTCCAATTACCAGACTTCCCTTCAGAATCATTGCACTTATCGGCATTACTACACTTCCCTTCAATATTATTGCACTTTTCATAGACGTCACGTCTCTTCCCACATACATTATTTATCTTCGTTGATGTCACTACACTTCATTTCTCTTCATGCTGGCGTTACTACTCAATGTCATTAAACAACAAAAAGAAGAAAAATGGAATTAAAGAAGCACATTGTGACACTTTTCATTGCCTTCGATTCACTGCACAACATCCTCCATCAATGCATTCACTCAATGCACACATTCAGTGTCAGCTATTACGGCGTCAGTCAAAGAAAGGAGCACGAGAGCACCTCATCATTCGAATCTTCTAGAGAGTGCAACCCTCATTTTCCCCTAACAGCAGTTGAGGTCATCCTCTATACTAGAGACAAGGCACCAACCATCCACTCATCTTCGGAAGACCGGAGCACCTCGTCATTCTTGTTACTTTTCTATTAACTTTAGTCACTTTATCATACTATTTGTGTCCCAAATTGATTTACAAAATTGACTTCGTTTGAAACTTTGAAAAGATTTCAATGTAATTTTTGAATATGTAAATAGAGTGATATAATTATCAATAGAGTGACTTTGACATTAGTCGATCAAAAAGTGTTTGCTTTGTCAATCAATTAGGAACGTCGGGAGTAACAGACAAGGGTAGGGAATTGTGTGTTTTACCCAAAAGTTGGAGCAAGAAAATATGTTTAAATGCATCAAAACTCTTGGCTACGTACGTATATGACCATTCTGACTCTTTCATTTTTTGATAAATTTGGTAAGCATTTATTTCATTAATTAATTTAGGTAGCGAGTAAATGTTTCTACCTTCGTTCTTAAATAAGTGCAACATGTGAAATTTTACACTATTCACATGTTCTCCTTTGACTACGTTTTATTTATTGATGTATTAATATATTTTTTTGAAAAATATATTATTAAATTTGTCTCATTGTAAATTTTCAAGAACTGATTTTTTTTTAAATTTTTTACTAATAGAGAATTATATATATTAATGGTCAAAATTATGCATCGACAAGTGTGAAATGTTGACTGTTGCATTTATTTAAGTATTAATTATTAAGGATAAATATTAGCACATGATTACTTGGTCAAAGTCCCCTAGAATTGAGAAAACCCTTTTCTGTGTGAATCAATGTGAAAGCTTATTAATACCCCACTACACCACCAAACAAGCTGCCCAACTACACCAATGTTGGATTATTAATTAAGCAGCTGAGAGCGTCAAGTACGTAGGCAGTAGGCTTTGATTGATCCTAACTAATCATATTGCTGGTTTTGTAGTTCAACTGTATTCTATAAATATACACAGATGTGTCCACACACATATGTATCTGTATATAACTATATTTATGCATATATATATATATAGGAGATCGACATGTGTGCGTCTATATTCATTCAATTCAATTCAATATAATGGTAGGTCTTCTAACTACCCGGCCATTAGTCATCTGATTCTTCTTACCGGCCATTTTCTGGGAGATCCATCGATAGGATTGACTCGTTCCGATCCATCATACGATAGTATATTTTCTGATAAGATTAGATTTCATTTATGGCTACAGAGTGCATAGACATGGAGGAGGAGAGGCTGACAGCCCAGATGGATTTCAAAGACGACGACTCTTCCTCCATCGTCATCAATATACGCCGCCGCCTACCGGACTTCCTCCAGTCCGTGAAGCTGAAATATGTGAAGCTGGGGTACGGGTATTCTTGCAAGCACCCCCCGGCGGTGCAGGCTGCGGGAGTGGCGGTGGCGGTATTCTTTGGGGTGATGCTGGTGCGGCTGGCCGCGGCGGGGCTGAGGCTGAATCGGTTCTGGGAGGTGGTGCAGTACGCGGGACGGAACCCCAGTGTGCTGGTAGACACGACGACGGGGGTGACGGGGCTGTCGGTGCTGGTGGTGGGAATGAGCCTGTACTGGGCGAAGCGGCCCAGGCCGGTGTACCTGGTGGACTTCGCGTGCTACAAACCGGCGGGGGAGCAGAGAAAGATGTCGGTGGAGGGGTTCCTGAAGATGACAGAGCAGAACGGGTCGTTTTCGGAAGACATCGTGACGTTCCAGAAGAGGATATCCCGGCGGTCGGGGCTGGGCGACGAGACGTACGTGCCGGCGGGCATCACGGCCACGCCGCCGAACCTGTCGATGAAGGAGGCGCGGGCGGAGGCGGAGGCGGTGATGTTCGGGGCGCTGGACTCGCTGTTCGAGGCGACGGGAGTGAAGGCGGAGGAGATCGGGATCCTGATAGTGAACTGCAGCCTGTTCAACCCGACGCCGTCGCTGGCGTCGATGATAGTGAACCACTACAAGCTGCGGGAGGGCGTGAGCAGCTACAACCTGGGCGGAATGGGGTGCTCGGCGGGGCTCATATCGGTGGACCTGGCGAAGCATCTGCTGAAGGCGAACCCGGACACGTACGCGGTGGTGGTGAGCACGGAGAACATCACCCTGAACTGGTACTTCGGCAACGACCGCTCCATGCTGCTGTGCAACTGCATCTTCCGGATGGGCGGCGCGGCGATGCTGCTGTCGAACAGGCGGCGGGACAGGGGGCGGTCCAAGTACGAGCTGGTGCACACGGTGCGCACCCACAAGGGGGCGGACGACAGCAGCTACAGGTGCGTGTACCAGAGGGAGGACGAGGAGGGGGCGGTGGGGGTGTCGCTGGCGAGGGAGCTGATGGCGGTGGCGGGGGACGCGCTGAAGACCAACATCACCACCCTGGGGCCCCTCGTGCTCCCGCTCGCGGAGCAGCTCAAGTTCCTGGCCACGCTGGTGAGGAGGCGGGTCATGATGGGGAGGGCGCAGGTGAAGCCCTACATCCCCGACTTCAAGCGGGCGTTCGACCACTTCTGCATCCACGCGGGGGGGCGGGCGGTGCTGGACGCGCTGCAGAACAACCTGGACCTCACCGACTGGCACATGGAGCCGTCCCGCATGACCCTGCACCGCTTCGGCAACACCTCCAGCAGCTCCCTGTGGTACGAGCTGGCCTACACCGAGGCCAAGGGCCGCGTGTCCAGAGGAGACCGCGTCTGGCAGATCGCCTTCGGCTCCGGCTTCAAGTGCAACAGCGCGGTTTGGAGAGCCCTCCGCACCCTTCCCTCTCACCCCCACCCATCTAACCCCTGGGCAGACTCTGTCCATCGCTACCCAGTCAAGATCGATCATTGACCCACACACCACACTATGTCTGATCTTTCCTATCATCATTCATAATTATTACTATAACAATAAATTTCATCAACCACAACGCGCCTCTACACCACCTAGCTGAATTTCCCATTTAATTCAGTCCCCACAATTCAGGCATGTTCTTGCTTCCACACCAAAGAAAAAAGGCACAAATATTACTATTGCCTTTTCAAATACAAAAAGGCGCCATTACTTTTCATTTTTTGAAGAAATATGATTATCTTTGGTTTATGGAAAGATGTACTTCTCCCTCACAGTGTATATTTCACCTCTCAAATGACCACATTTACAGCAATTTTTACAATTAATGGGTGTCATTAACAATTTCAGAAATACGGGTCTGACATTTCAATATAGTGTTTATTTCATGGATTAAAAATGTGATTTTCTTTTGGTTTAGTTAATCCTTTTTTTCATTCTACTTTATATCCAATCTCTAACGATCACGCTGACGTGTCTCACAACTATAGTGACATCAGTTAGCATGAAAATATGATAGCGAATTTAAAAGCTGGCAGTAATATCATGTTTTTTCACATATATTGCTTTGTTAGTAACATTTTTTCATACGTAAAAGTATTTACTTTTTAGAAATCGACTTCAATTTAGTCATACTTTTTACAAACATGTCTGATTGTAGTCATATCATCAAGAAGTGAGATGCTAAAGATACTCATGTAATACTTCCAAATAGGTATGACTTTAGGACATCTAAACAATACATGATCCATTGAATCTTCATGGGCTTTACATAGTAGGCATCTAGAGGGATTTAGAAGAATTTGAAACCTATTAAGATTGTTAGTAATTGGTAGAATGTCATGTAAAATCTTCCATTGATGTAACTTAATTGACAGGGTTTAATTAGAATGCCAAGAATGAGAGAATGAGAATGTACGCGCAAGCTCATTTTTTACCAAATGACAAATGTGAATGTACCATCATCCTCTTCTAACCAAATTGGTTCCCCATCTTGATTGAAATCACACATAGGTAAAGCCAATTGATCAACAAAACAAATTCTCCTCCATACAGGGGAATCAGTCACCTTAGGGGACACATCAGATCACCTAAGGTATCTAGATCTGATAAAGTCAGTGTAACACCCCGGCCCCACCGGACCCGAGGTAGTTACTCCAGACCAATAGTACTGTCCCCACAAACCACCACAAGCCTTTTACCGCGCACTTTGTCCTCACTCATGCGCGCCCTGAGAAACTTCCCAGGGGGTCACCCATCCCAAGTTTACTCCTGAGCAAGCACGCTTAACTTTGGAGTTCTTAGCGGATGAGCTCCCTTAAAAGGAGATGCACCTCTGTTGGTATGAGTAGTACTATTAATCCGTTTATATTAAATCTCAAGTGTTACAGTCAGTCCAGATTGAAGTCCTAGACCTCCACTTCCACCACAGTTTTAGGCTAAAAGCTTTCTCAATATCAATCAAAGCTCTAGTTCCCAACCCCCCTTCATTGGTGGGATAATATAGCTTAGAACATGATTGATCAAAATTAGATCCAATGATATTTTTTTGTGTTGTTTGATGAACCCCAAATGAAATCTGCCATTTTGCTTTCCAAAAAGATGATTACTTTCTTTGGTAAGGTGTCTGCAGCCATAGTGTGTAAGGGGATAGGGCTTAGAACATGATTGATCAAAATTAGACGACCACCTTGAGATAAGTTTTTTTGCTTCCAAGGAGTTTATTTCTTTTCAAAATGATAAATAATATCCAAACGGTATTGATATCTGTTTATACCTTTATGCAGATTCACTCCAAGATACTTGACAGGCAACTCGGCTTCTTTCATGCCCAAAATGTCTGAATAGAATGGGAACGAGCCTTGGCAGGTTTACTACAACTGTAGGAACTTTTCAGGAGATTTACAGACTCACAAGATGCCAATTGATAAGATTTAATAAACTTATTAAAGTTAGATACAGATATAGAATCCCAATAACAAAAATAAGTAAGTCATTCGCAAATCCCAAATGAGAAACTGGATAACCCAATATGCCCATCCAATATGGCTTGATAAGGCCTCTTTCAAAATTACTTTTCAAACCTCTAGAAAATGCCTCTGAAGCCAAGATAAATAGGAAAGGGGACAAGGGATCCCATTGTTTTACACCCCTTTTAGATTCGAAAAAACCTTGGGGTATCCCATTAACCAATACAGAAAGATAGGTGGCCCTTAGGTTATTCATGACGATCTGAACGATACAATGAAGAGAAAAAATAAAAAATGAAGACAATATATGAGTGCAGCACAGTAGCCCCACTAGTCAGGCCACGATTGAGAAAGTGAGAAACAACAACAAAAAGGGAGAAAGAAAATGAATTTTTGCTAGGTGTACACAAAATGTGTACACCTTTGACACCCTATATAAATACCTCCCATTTTTTTAACCTCACTTCCTTCCCAATTCTAATCTTTACCATCCTTTTGTCTTCCATCCATCCAAAATCCTGCCACAGACTCCCGCACCCACATCTCGCCTTCGAACCGCCCCAGACTCCCGCACCCACACTTCCATCCCTTGACCTCGACTTCATAACCGGACAAGAAGCTCCAGACTCCATCGCTGCTATGTGTAAGAAAGAAGGGCGAGAGTGCTCTGCCGGACTAAACCTTCTCAGTTCCCATCCATCTGCTCTGCCGGACAAGAAGCGACCTCGGTTGCGCTCAAAGTGGACGAAGGGCTTGTGCTGCTCTACTGCAACTTCAAGGTAAAACAAAGAGAACAGCCAAAAATCAGTTGATTTCATATTTGAGGAGTTTAAAGATCCATTCAAATTAGTGAGTGTTTAAAGTTTGAAGCTATGGTGCAAACTAGTTTGATAAATATTGTTGAAAGGTAATATTTTCATCCTTGTGTAGCACTCACCTTAGCAAAATTGGTTCAATTCAATTAAACAAGACCTAATTTTGTTTCTGTCATTTAAGAGTTGTTTGAGATGTTGTTTGTGTGTTGTGAGATGTCTGTCATTTGTTTTGAATTGTCTGTAAAGAGTTCATAAATGTCTGTGATGTTTTAAGTAGATGTCTGTCATTCATATTTCTTTGTCTGTCATTTGTTTTGAGTTGTTTGTACTTGTTTGAGTTGTCAGTAAAACCTTTATAAATGTCTGTGATGTTTTAAGCAGATGTCTGTCATTCATATTTTTTTGTATGTCATTTGTTTTGAGTTGTCTGTATTAGTTTGAGTTGTCTGTAAGGAGTTTATAAATGTCTGCGATGTTATAAATAGATGTCTGTCATTCATATTTTCTTGTTTGTCTGTCATCTGTTTTGAGTTGTCTGTAAGGACTTTATAAATGTTTTTGATGTTATAAATAGACGGTTGTCATTCATATTTCCTTGTATATCATTTGTTCTGACTTGTCTTTAAGGAAATTATAAATGTCTGTGATGTTATACATAGATGTCTGTCGTTCATATTGACTTGTCTGTCATTTGACCAAGAGGGCCAAGTTGGTGACCGGGCAACATTTATCATATCAAACATCGTGTATGAAGTAAGTGTTATTATGTTTTTCACTTAAGAACATGTTTCCTCTTTCTTTGGATACTTTAGTCCATATATGGAGTTGGCCGGACAAATGTGTGCATTGTGTGGTAGCATACATTGAAATTTATTTTGAATAAAGGAGAGTCTTCGGGCTAAAAGAATCGTATTAAATTCAATATTATTATGCATTACATTTATTGTCTGTGTTAGTCTTCTAATTGTCTGTCTGGGATATTTTTGTCTGTCTACAGGTCTGGTGAATGTGGCATGATGGTCCTAGTTTTTGCAGAGCAGCTACTCATCGGAAATTCATTGGTTCCTTCTTGCGACTAAGGCAACATGTCCAACAAAAGACTTGACTATGGTATTCAACTTTGGCGGTTGAAGAAGGAAGAAGCGTAGCTTGTTGTAGAAATCAGTTTTATTTCCAATTGTGGTTCGAACATGTGTTGATCAATGTTGTACAATGTTCAACAATTTAGTAGGGGATTTTGAACGTGTATGGCTTTTTGCAAACATTACATTCACAATTAACCACTTATTTATGTCAATATTTTGTCCCTCAGGGAATCTTTCGTTTTGCCTGTGTGTGTACTATTTTACGTTTAACATACATGTATTGTCAGTGTTTTGCTCGACACATTAAGTCCGTCTGGTTATGTTTATTGTCTGTGTACATATATGCATTGTCTGTCTATAATTCGAAGCAAACTAACGTTGATAATTCATAAGAAAATAATGTTTGCATCCAACCCGTTATCATTCACAGACATTACGTTACTACAGGATAATAATGTTCAATTCACAAAATATAGTACATGATAAATGTGTCTGCTAGAGTCCAGATAGACAATTACGTTACTATGGGATAATAATGTTCAATTCACAAAGTATAGAAAACTACAATTCATGTTGTTATAGTCAAGACAGACAATTGCTTCTGCCAAACAGACAAATATTGTCTGTTATACATAACTCCTTTGCCAAAACCAAATACGAAACGTCTGGCATTCACAAATATTGTTTGTTACACATAACTCTTTTGCTAGGACCAGACACGAAATATCTAACACAGACAAATAATGTCTGTCCGGGCTATCTATTTTACCAGCCCAGACACAAAATGTCTGGAACAAACAAATAATGGCTCTCAGACCTAACTCTTTTGTCTGGCCCATACGCGAAATGTCTGGAAAAAACAAATACTGTCTGGTAGACTCTAATTAGCAAATTAGCCCGTTTAAATGACTATTGTCTGTGTACATTTCATATCTTGTCCACATATAATTCTACTTAACATATAAGCCAGACATTTGATATCTTGTCTGTAATAAATAAAGGATATACATTAGTGCACGCACAAACTGGTAAGAAGATGAAGCATTAGGATATTTTATCTATACATATGTCAAGGAAAATTATTTATACATAAGTCAATTTGTATGTGTCCAAACAATAATCGTCTATCAAGAGAACAAAGAGTTTAAAATGACATAAAGTCGTTGATAGTCATCCTTAATTATGCCCCTCATTCACCATTTCATTCATTGGAGGTTCCATCTTTATTACATCATTTTCTTCACTGGAGGTTCCAACTGCAAATAATTAACAACAATTAAAACACATAGAAGGATGACTATAAAAATAATATAACTAAAATGCATTGAATTACAGGAGGTGGTGCACTTTCATGGTTTAGACCTTGTTTGGCTTCATATAGCAGCTGCTGTTTTATCTTTGTCCTCTGCATTTGATGCTATTAAGCATTCCAAAGTGACTTCTTTATCCAATAAATTTAGCTACCATCCAAGTTATAATATTAAAGTGAGCATTTTTTGGATATTTAATGACCCACTTCCATTTCGAGGAAACCTTTGCCGGTTTGGCTCCTTTTACCATTTCTTTTACGTGAGTAGTAAAATTCACGTGGGGCCCACACCGGGAGTGGGGGCCGGCCGATATTATCGGGACCACATGTTATATTCATCTGGGTCTAGATAATATGTGTATAATGGTGGATATCCTTGTTGGGCCAGAGAAATTATGTGATTAACCAGTTGGGCATATAAAGCTCATTTATCGGTACCGAAGTACTATCAGATAAAAATCCATAATAAATTATGGAGACCATTAAATTAAAAGTTGGGGAATATACATTCATTCTAATAGCCAATAATAATTGGAAGAATTATAGATATTTCATTTGACCCGATAAAATGAAATTTAGTTAAAACAGTCCGGAAAAACACAACTTTCGGGACCAAATGTACACTCGGGGACACAAAGGGATGACCACCCATTAAAGTGGGGGCCACCCCACGACTTTGTCTTGCAAATAGAAAGGGGAGCCGCACCTTTGGACTGCTGAGAAGTGTTGAGGGGATTTGCAGACAAAGGGTGAAAGCTAAGGGGACTCTCACCCATATTATTGGTGAATAAGCCAAATTGAGTATCTCCATCATCCCTTAACCCATATG